GAGAGCGAGAGAGAGAGAGAGAGAGAGAGCGAGAGAGAGAATTAAGACTGAGAAGAGTGAGTGAAGACAAATATAAGAAAGTCTGGGAGACATGGGATGACAGGCCGTGACTATTATTATTGTGAATCAAAATACAAAGAGAGAGAAGGATTCACAAATAAATCATTGAATGATTTTGCAGAACCTCTTATGGCAAACATTTGCCTCCATTTGCCAATTGTATTGACATTTCTCATTAGAATTTGCTTTTATTCTTATCATTCATAATACAAATTCTGTTCATTCAATAGAAATAACGAATACAATGAATATATGAAATACGAGATTACAATCGATTGCGAGTATAGCATCAAATATAATATTTATTTCTCTCTCTCTCTCTCTCTCTCTCTCTCTCTCTCCCATATATTGTGCTTTAAGTAATGCATACTTTGTATTCCCTATAAGAATACGAACAGAATATTCCTTTTCTTTTGTTTAATTTATTTATTTTGAGTTTTCAAACGAATAACAAATATTGAAAAGAAAAATAGAAATAATGAGAGGAAAGCCATTGAATATGAATTGCAGACAAATATAATACCCATAATAAAAATCAAAAACGTTTTAATTCACTGACATTTTCAGTGCAAATCATTTATGCGAATGAAAGAAATGTTTGCATTTATATTGAAATTAATGAGACAACTATTATATGGCTATAGATTTCGCGATACGAGTCTTTTAGCTTAAGATTTATGATTTCTAATGGTTTCGGTTATTAAGGGCTTTCCTCTTCCCCTACCCGTCTCTCTCTCTCTCTCTCTCTCTCTCTCTCTCTCTCTCTCTTCAGTTACACTAACTTTTCATTCGTCAACTAAAGCACCAGTACTTGAAAACCCACACCAGAGAGAAAACCCATATATACAGCACTTATATAATATAAATATAACTTTATAAAGAGAGAAGTGACTAGAATTATATATTCAGTTTGGGCAAATTACTATCTCGTTATCCTGCAATTATTCACCTCACTTACTACTTTTTTTCGTAATAATTATCCAAAGAGACATAAAAGTGAAGGCATTCAATGTGACGGACGATAACATGAGAGAGAGAGAGAGAGAGAGAGAGAGAGAGAGACAGGGCTTTCGTATGAATACACACATCGCGAATACCCCCCGAAGAATAACACGAGAGCTTAATATTCATAATAATAACTGTAATTGAATTTCATTTTTCATTTATGAATAATAGACAACAATTTTTCATTTAATTTTAATATAAGGCTATCTCTCGATCGCATTAATTAATCAAATGTGCGGAGAAAAAGGCTGCGAAGAGCCCACAGGAGAGACAAATAAATTAATTATATTTAATTGAAAACTTCAATAATTATAACTCATGGCTTAGTTATCTCGCTCTCTCTCTCGCTCTCTCTCTCTCTCTCTCTCTCTCTCTCTCCCCATGTACTGTACAATGAATAAAGTTTTATATCATTTATTATTATTATTATATAATTTCATTTACTTACAAATCCACTCTCATTTAGTTTGATGATTACAAATCTTTTACATACATGTGATTCATATGACAGAATATATCAGTGAATATATGACACATTTTTTAGTGTAGAATTTAATTAATGACTATACGATCAATATTTATATAATATGTTTAAATCAAAACTAAAATATTATATTTGAAAGCAGTTGGTTTTAAATTTAGCAGTTTTTTTGCAAATTAGTTTTATTTCAAATCATATTAACAATCATTAATTTATCGATACATTAGTCCATTATATTAAGTTAGCGTATTAAATAAAGCGCCAGCACAAATCATTTAAACCCATTATCTCATTGTCCATCACATCTCTTGTGCGACTGAACCCAAGATGTCTGTGCCGGACAGTGCATCAAATGGAGGTACCATCCTGTGCCGGGAATCCATTCACACTGGAAGTACTCATGTGGGTCAGTTGGGTGGGGCACATACCCGTCCTTAGCGCACTGGGAATCGATTGAAGATTCACCTGTTTGTTAGTTAATCATATATTTACCGCAAATAAATTAACTTGTTAAATATGTATAAATAAGTATTTTAACAAATACATTTTTTGTGTGATTGGACCCAGGTGGTGTTCGTGGAGCATTGGCGCAAATGGAGGTACCATCCCGTGCCAGGAATCCATTCGCACTGGTAGTACCTATGGGGGTCAGTTGGGTGAGGCACATACCCGTCCTTAGCGCACTGGGAATCGATTGAAGATTCACCTGTTTGTTAGTTAATCATATATTTACCGCAATTAAATTAACTTGTTAAATATGTATAAATAAGTATCTTAACAAATACATTTTTTGTGTGATTGGACCCAGGTGGTGTTCGTGGAGCATTGGCGCAAATTGAGGAACCATCCCGTGCCGGGAATCCATTCACACTGGAAGTACTTATGGGGGTCAGTTGGGTGAGGCACATACCCGTCCCGAGAGCATTGAATATCAATTGGCGACTGAGTGGTCGGTTGAGGAGAAAACTCACCTTGTTATTTTAATAATTATTAAATAAATTATATTTTAATTCAATATAAATAACTATTTTAATAAATACATAGTTTGTGTGATTGGCTCCAGGTGGTTTGTTGTGGACATTGTTCCATATGGAGGTACCATCCCGTGCCGGGAACCCATTCGCACTGGAAGAACTTATGGGGGTCAGTGGGGTGTGGCATAAAGCCATCCCGAGAGCACCAGTAGTCTACACCCCTAGTCGTTGCACCGTTGGACTCATCGCCTGTAATTCAAGTGAAATGAAAAGTATTTAATTTAATTATTAACAATAAAATCTCTCGGTATGAATGCATACCCTGACACACGGCTACCAACAGGCCTACAATTATGAATAGTTTTGACATTTTTGGTATTAATGTTCACATCAATCAACGTTAACAATAAACTGTAGTTTCAATGAATTCATGTATTGTTTATATACTATTTTGGGGGATAATAATAATATTATGGTCCCCTCATTGGATCGTATGGGGAATGGGTTTCTGGAAATACACTTAAGATTAGTTGAGATGGATTGCTCTTTAGATTACATAATACTGTATAAAATGAGATAGCACATTTTATACTGTATATAAAATACTGATTATATAAACTTAATCCTGTAAGAGATAATTTAGATACCTAGATTGAATGTCCTCTAATAGAAAGTAGATAAAGTACATCAGTTATCATATTATTATAATAATAATAATGGTAATAATAATAATTTCATTGGAAAATTCTCAAAATACTGAACTCAAAATAACATTGCTAATATTTCTTACTTTATCATATAGTAGCATGATAATAAATTAAAATAAATAACGACTTGAAAGTATTTCCGAGAATTGGCTTATAATCTAATTGCAATTACTATAGTTATAATTAGGATAACTTATATCATATATATAATTATATTTCATTGCTATCAATTATATAACAAAAACACTTCAATAATTATAACTCATGTCTCATTTAGTTTGATGATTGCAAATTGATTACATACATGTGATTCAAATGACAGAATATATCGGTGAATATAATATCACACATTTTTGGTGTAGAATTCAATCTGAAACTTCATAAGCCATTTTTAAAAACTAAATGTCCATTATATCTAAAAATATTTTTTTTAAACCTTTAAAATTCATATTAACGGCTAATGTACTGTAATCTTTTGAAAATATAATTTTAAGAATTTATTTTATTTATTTAATGAAAGCAGTTTTCATTCATATAATAGCGTACAAATGGTGTACAACTTATGAATTATGCGTTCATATAAATATCTTATTTAAGGAGAAATATTTACTTATTGTGAAAGAATTTGGTGTTTCTGTTGAAATATATATCAAATAGGAATTGAATACAAGTATATAAATACAGAATAAAAAGCTTGTGTTATATGATATAAATGTCTTATATATTAGAGTTGAAGTACAGGTGAAAAGGAGTGCATTTTTATGAATAAATGATGGCTAAGAAAACACTATTACTTTTCATAGACTAGAAAAGTGTGTGAAAATGGATCTCTCGGTATAGATATACAGTATAAGTACTCTCGAGGTATAAAGCGTTGGGTTTTTATTCATTGCTAAATATGAATACTGGAGAGAGAGAGAGAGAGCGAGATAACTAAGCCATGAGTTATAATTATTGAAGTTTTCAATTAAATATAATTAATTTATTTGATAAAATTCTTATTTATTCTTAACAAATGTAAAGATATATAATAATTTATTATATTAAATTCGTTGACACAAAATTGTCGAGTGCACGCAAAATTTCACAATTGATTTCATATCTCATTTAAGTTTATATATATATTTTGTTGTGTATGTATTTATCCATATATTTGAAAAAAAGGTTGAATGCATCGATTGAATGAAGAGTTTTGCCATTCATTCATCAATTCATGAGTGAATTCTGTGTCTCTCTATTGGACTTTTTCACAGCAATTCTCGTTTCCTATGTGTTGCCGAAATACATGCGAACAATTCATTCGCTGATTTTCGATGCAATTTATTATTGTATATAAATTCGTCGATTTTCTAACAATATATTTTCGCTTAAAATAGAAATAAATGACTCAAATGACTGTCCAAATGCTCACCCGTTTCCTCCCCCTATCCCCTCGCTCTCTATCAGGCCTTTAATATATTGTTTTGCCATATATTTTGTCCAAATTTGTGGATCTATTCTCCCATTTGAAGACCTTTTGAAGCTTTACATCCGGAATGAGATCAAAATCAAATGTTATATAAAAATAACAATAATATATTTGTGTACTTTAGTGCTCTCTCTCTCTCTCTCTCTCTCTCCTCATATAAGTTATCTCTTATTGTTATAACATTTTTGTTGTTCAATACATTCTATTCTCTCACTTCTCAATAGATTGACTCAATTCTTATAAATACTAAAAGAAAAAAGTAATTCAAAACTTTATTTCAAGATTTAGTCAATCGATTCGAAAAATATACTTTGAATCCGAAATCATTTCAATCAAACTTCTCTCTTATATATACACTGTTTCCATGCATATTGTGCTCAGATTTTTGGCGTTCAATGCCTGGAAGTCTCTCAACAATTGGCGGTTAAGTGTGAAAGGACTGAGAGATAAGTTGTCTCTCATATTATATGGATATAACTCAGCGATGAATATAACTTTTTATATATAAACACAAAAATAAAGTCTGCGTTGAGAGCAATAGAGAAGTATTTTTTGCTTCCAATAAACCCTTAAGTGTGAGTCCTTTCAGTCCTTTAGGTCTGACATTACGTGTGGACTCATCCTCTAAAGTACACTAAAGATATGCTAAAACTTGTCTTTTATTTCTTTTCACTAAACGGAATACCAAGCAATAAATTTGAGAGATTTTTAGCCATCTTTTCATCATTGAATGACT